GTTGATAGATCTTCGAAACGTTTCTTTATAACGATCTGAAGCCTGACGTCACATCCGCAGTTTCAGCCATCCAAAAAGAAGGTCGTAACTTCTAACGACTCATCCTTCCGCAGTCCCTCTCGCTCCTCTCCTCCGCCGTATTAGGCGTAGCGAGACATCAAATCATCGAGCTGCATCGCGATCCAAGGATGCAGCCCCGACGCGGATCGAATCGGTGGGAGCGTTTCCATTTATACAGAGATAATATTACTCCTAGATGCCACTCATACATATTAAACAGCATCGCCTGCGATTCGCGCTGCACTTTTTCGTCTAAAATCTTGCCTTGTCCCCTCGATCGCCTCCTCTCTCGTCCCCTGCCCGCCGGGCATTCTCGCCCGCCCCCCTTCGTGCCTCTCCAAGCGACGATCCGTCGCTCATTGAGTATGCATCAGCGATATCGACAGCGCGCGGACTGTTACCGAGTTCCTCGCCCGCGGCGACGTCGGAAGCCCGTTGCTGGTCGCAACGGCAACATCAGCGGCGAGCAACGGCGTCCCCGCTTCCTCTTTTTGCCCGCACGACGTGGCGAGACGAGGCGAGGCGCGGCGACCACCGGCTGCTCCGGCGCAATTTTTGCCCGCTCGCTCTCGCGCGCGGCCGCCCGACGGCCATTCGACGCGCAGAGAGCCCACGTAACACGCGCGTCTAAGTCCAGCCGAGAGATAACGACAGCTTGCCACCGTGCCTGCCGGTGCCCGTCGGCGTCAGGGTGCATTCGTATATCCCCTCGGCTCGCTCGTTCGGCATGCTTCTTTTACCTCCGCGCTAGAGTGCGGAGCCGCGAAGATTCCGCTCGACGCCTCGCTTGCGCCGCTGTTGTTACGTTGTTCGAGTAAAGCGATTTTGATTGCTACCTCCCGGCTGGCCGACGGCTCTATGACTCACTCTCGCAAGAATTTCATTTATTTCTCCAGTATTTTTAACGCACCTGGTGTGTTTTTTCATATTAGGCCGCGTAAAATTGGATATTTTTGTGCAAAATAAAAAAAGTGTTATCTGTTTTTTTTAGATAGATTATATAAAACGCGTATCTGAATAATACGGTATATGTATGTTGATGATTTCTAAATTTGCTGGGAATGTTATATTTAGGACGAGATCCTGCTGATATGTACGACCTTAAATTTCTCGAAGATGACAATTTCTCTTTCGAGCGGTACGCAAATGGTGGGAAAGATTTGAATGAAGAATGTTAATAACAGAGTAATGAGTAGTACAAGGAGTAATAAATCACTGAGAATCGAGTCTGTCGTCGTCCTCGCCGCGAGAGAACAATCATTATTATCTCAGACCACATTTCGCACCATAAATTCATATTTTCACATGCATATTTTAAGACTCTCTCCACCAAATAATACAGATCTATACATAATATATTGAGCGCAATAGATATACAAATTACGACACGTATTCATCCACGGTTTTCACATTCTAAAGAATAAAATGTCATGAATTTATCAAATAATTATATCCCACCTTTAACTATCGCACGTAAAGTACAATTATCATCCGCAATCCCGTTCTTCAAATAAAAAAGTAACGAAAACCATTCGCGTGAGTGCTTCGACGACACTTGGAAAACAGATATTAATTAAAGCTTTGCCCGAACGCGCCGACACACATAACTATATCCCACATGCCGTTCCCGCGAGAGAAAGAGAGAGAGAGAGAGAGTGAGAGGGGCTGAAAGGGGGAGAGCTGCCGGTAGATGAAAAGAAAACAACTCCTTCAAACAATAGCCTCGCGAGCGAAGAAGCATCCCTTATCGTCGATGTGCGTCATGCCCTGTCAACGCCGGCTGTAAATATCAATAAACAAACTGCCGCGCCGGCGAGCGCGATTCGTTTGTCCCGGCTGGCCGGTTGAGCGAAATAAAGCACGTCGGACCAGGTTTTAGCGCTGCTGGCCTTTGTCGGGCGCCATCTCCACTCGGCACAACCGCGGCCGGGTTTTTCAGCGAGCAATTAGAAAGAGATTTATTTGCGCCGGCACGCCGGGCGCACGCTCGCAGGCCCGGAGACCGAAGGAAGTCCATGCTGATGTTGCCGCGGCATATTTTTCACGATGAAATGTAGCGCGTATGCACAGGGTGTCTCGGAGGCCCAACGGCAGGTGCTTTGAAGAGTTTAGAGGTGGATCTTCCGCGAGGAGAAATATTCGCCACGAATTTTCAGCGCCAACCGCATCTTTGCAGCTGATCTTTAGGTTACAAATTTGTGAAATATTTTTTGCGTTCTTTTTTTTTTTATTTAATACGAGAACGGTATTACGTAAATTGACCTGTTATTAAAATTAAGAATTCTGAGACACCATATACATCCTGTAAATACACATGTGCGTCTGTGTCAGTCAAGACGAACCATTCGCGAAGCAATGCCGCGTGTACGTTGCGTTTCTTTCGGTAGCTCGTGCCATGCTTTTAATGAAGAGGCCACGGCGGAGTGTGACGACGCGTGTTCGGCAAAACTTGGAACTATAGTTTATTTCTGGTTTCTACGTGCTTATGTATAATGCAAAAGCGTCGTGCCGTACTTACCAATTAGTCCAGAGCTCAACTTCTGATCCGCTCTAGACACATCGTCCTTTTGCATCTTTAAAAAATGGGCGAAAAATGAAATCTCCGTATGACAGAATCAATATACACGCAATTATTTTTAATAACGATTTTTTTTTATGTGTTTGCGTGTGCCTTTTGTGTGTGCATTTATTTATGTGAAAATATCATCACATAAATTTTATTTTCTATGAAGCGTAAAAATATCCTTTCACATATCTGTCGCAATTAATTTTTTTTATTTGTTTGTGTGTGCATTTATTTATGTGAAATATTATCACATAAATTGTATTTGCTATGAAGCGTAAAAATATCTTTTCACATATCTATCGCAATTTTTTATTCATCTGATCCACCTAATGGCGTTTCACCATTTATCAAAATGTCCAAATCCGTTCCAGCCTTTGTTCTTTCCGACTTTATTTAATATTCTTGTCGTACAGGCGTAAATTGAAAGTATTGTTTAGTAGAGACCATCACTCATCTCATCAATCCGTGATTCCTTTATTGCGCAATAGTTTCTGAAGCGGCGTACACAGACACACATTCATGTCATCAACTTTTTACATCTTGGACGTCAATCAAAAGCTGGACAGTTACTTTAATTAACCAAGTTGGTCTGTTCAACTGAGAGAGGGATGCTAAGAGAGGAACGAGAGGGGAAGGGGATCGGCAACGCATCGGAGAGTAGTGCAACGTCATATGAGAACAAGTTCATTAAAAGTAAAGAACACGTTCATCTAATTGCAAAAAGCTTCACTTGCTGTTTTCTGTGTAACTACAGTGTTTACGTGTTACTTTCTCACATTCTACTAGAAAAATCGCTTTTGCCAATCTCGCCGTTAATGTGTTCGAAAGATTAATTGAACAGATGTCATACCAATCAAGCAAATGATCGAAGAAAGAAATGTTTAATTGTTATTTTTTGCCGGCGCGGAAAATTTTTGCCACGAAGAATTTCCTTGCCGCCTACTTCATGATTAATAAACCACGTGTATACACGCGTGCGTGTACAGTATAATTTCCATTCGTACACGAAGGCATTGTTAGACGCGGTGCTAAGGTTACCGTGAAAGGAAAGTAATCTTTAATCGTGAAAAAAATATTCCTTGTACCTAGTGAATAGCGTACGCGTATATTCGCTATATACATTTTGCGCTTCACGACGGCTACGTTTGATCGACGTGGCAGTGGGATATTGAGTTTGATCGGGTAAGCCCGGATATAGCGGATAGGCTCGTTAAAAAGTCATTGAGTCTGCTGTACTATTAATAAAAAGGTGTATCTTTTTTCGTTTGAGTCATCCGGCATAGCCGAATAACTTTATCGTGCGGCAGAATGGAATCGTGAGCGTAGAGGCAGAAGAGTCTAAAATTAACTATTCCTGTTCCGGTAATGTGAGAAACTTTGTTCTTGAAGAAAAATTATTAATGCCGATTTGATAATTGCGAGAGATACACAAAATAGATACGAGGGATAAACGTATGTGTGTGTTTGATAAATCCGAATAAGATGAAATAAAGTAAGGTTTAGAATTTTTTCACTGTACAAAAGATACATTATCTCGACGAGGCGATGTAAAAGAAATTTTCAACGGTAACGTGCGTTTCGCGAAATAATTCGGACGAAACATATGGCTTCGTTCGGGCTGCCGTGCAAAACACGAGTGTACCTCGCGAGTATTCTTACATACGTACACATTTAAACTCTGCAAGGTTACGTAAGATTGAGCCAGCACGTCACGTGCATGCGGCGCATGTGTGCGGATGCTGAGACAAAAAAAAATACCGCCTGTGCAATCCTAGCGGTCACGCGTGCGCACCGGTATCCGCGCGGCAGGACGACGAAGCCGCTTGCCACTGCGGTTCTCTATGCATCGCGCAGAGAAGGCAAAAGAAACGATGATTACGAAACGAGCGTTCTTTTTTTTTTTCTTTGACGCCGAGTCTAACTCGTCAGTACGGAGCGGCGATGCGAAGCATCGGATTAGATTCAGACATGCCTACGCGTCGCAATTGCGACGTATATTTCCATCCATTCGGCTGAATCGATAATCGCGACGATGTATATTGATGAAAAACTGCTCGTGCAACTTTATATTATAATAATTCATAATGCCTGAAGGAAGCGATACGAGAATCGTGATAATTATAGCACAGCGATAAATGTTATTATGATAGAATAGTGACAATTTGTGATAATAATTATACATTTAGCATCGTCAGCTTCAATACATGCTGTGAATATCACAATTTATTGTAAACGATCGAGTCACAATGCAAGAAGAAAGATAATCTTTATGCGCTAATCAAGGATAAACTGTGTTGATCTGTAATAAAATTTCTCATTCTACTTGATGTGCCTCGTGACTATTTATCAATCACAAACGTTATTCTTGTTGCAGGTGAAAATCTGGTTCCAAAACAGGAGAAGTAAGTACAAGAAGATGATGAAGGCGGCGCAGCAGGGCGGAGGCGGCGGGGGTGGCCAGCATGGCAGTCTTCTAGCCGGTGGAACCGCTTTACCCGGCGGACCATCTCCCCAACCCGGTCAACCCGGAAGTCTCATGCAAGGAGGTGAGTCGCCTTACGGTTGCGTTAATAGAAAATACACCGATGAGTCAACTCCGCGAATGAAAAATCTCTTCTCGTCGCGTATCTAATTAGCGTCTTGGGAGAGCGCGCGCGCGCGCGCGCTTGCGATTTACGGCCGATCGATCGAATCACGCTGTCACGATCGACCGATCTATTTTCGCGATCGCTCGCACATTTTTTAACAGCCGGCGAATGTCCACGGGCGTTAATTGAATGTCACCGGTGAACGTGCGCGATGATTGCGCGGTTGACGGACGGGGCTACTCCATCACTCACCGCGTCGCAATCTCACGGCGTCGCTTCGCTCCGTAATTACGATACTAATAATCCGACGCAATTTTCACGGGCCGCATTTTCCATGGCGCGGATATCCTCGCCACCGCCCGTGTCGACCGTCGCCGGCGCGACGACGGTGCCACTTGCCGCCTCTTCGCTGCTCTCTTTCTGCGGCTAACGGTAATCTAGAATCTGCCTCGCGAGTGATTTATTCGGAAATGCGCGACGCAGTCGGCATAATTAACTCCATCTTGAGAAATTTCTCTCGCTAGGAGTGCCACTCGGCATAGCGAAATTTAATGCGCGCGTTCCGTATGCTTTCCGATGTGCATCACCGTGTCTCACACGGTGGCTTTTAAGCCAACGTGAGTTATTTTTGCATTGAGAAATTCTATTTATATAATATGCATATCTCGTTTTTTTTTTTTCTTAATTTGCACTTGTCATATTCGCATATAACTTCGTTACAGTTTGGAACGATAACTTTCACAGTGCGGTTTCACGATGTTAATACATCAAATTAGCTTTTACGCTAATATTTTTCCTTAATGATACGTCGCGCAAGTTTAACTACGAGAGTATGAAAATATGTGCACCCTATAATGTACCTCATTACTTACGTTAATGAGTACAAAACTCCAATCGCCCCGTGCTTAAGAATAGCGTCAAGGTAACACAAAGTTTCGGAAAAGATAGAAATCAGAGCGCTTCTAAATGGCGGATTGTCACGGAAGCGTGACGTACAGTCCGGAGGGGGATGAACTATATATACGCCCTCGTGTTCGCTCGCAGACTCGACTTGAAATCCGCGGAATCGAACCCGCGCGCGACCACCCTGGAAACTCTTTCCCGCCTCTCGGTAGCAGCGACCAGATGCATTAGCGCGCACAATGCCGCGCGCGGAGAGAGTGCTCCCTCGCGCGATTAATACAATTTACGACGGCGGCGCCCATTCAGGCGCACGCAGCTGCATATGCAGCAACACTCGGCGCGACTGAATGCGGGCGACGGAGCCGCGAGAATTCGGAGCGGTTCTGAAACCGGCGCCCGGTCCGCATTTGTGTTCCAGGAGGCGGAAGTTCCGTGTCGGGCAGCCCGACGACGGGTTACCTCGGCGGCATGGGCGGCGGGGGCGGCGGTCACACCCCCGGGAGCTCGAGCCCCGGAAGCGAGATGTCGCCTCAGCACAACGAGAGCCCGCCGGCGCCCGCCTGGCCGGGCGAGATGAAGCACCATCCGCATCCTCACGCGCCGCCCCACACCCATCATCACCCGCACACGCCCGGGCATCATCCACCGCCACCGCCACCGCCGCCGCATCACGCGGGCTACATGCCGCAGTATTCCTGGTACCAGGCGGACCCCAATCCCGGACTACTCACGTAAGTGCTGTTTCTCGCGAGTCGCCAAATAGTGGAAGAGGTTATTGCGAAATTAATGAATCTAAATTATATTACTTCATTCTTACGATACTTTCGTACGTGGAACATAAATTTACGATCAACTATGATCGGCGTGAAATTGATTAATAATATTATATATTGACATTTAACGAAGGGAACGTTGACGCAAAAATAGAGATACTTTAATGTCTCAAATATTCATTGAATCAACTTTGTAACGATATTAAAAGATAAGAATTTTGTAAAAAATAAAAATTATAATTTTAATACGCGAGGTAATTTGCATTTTATAGACACGCGATATCTATTGAATTTTATGTATAATGAATGAGCAGCTTTTCTCAAACGTCTGTGCTCGATAACAGTTTTGTCATTATACCTGCTGCGATTCGTATCGGTCGCTAATTTCTCCGCAAGCAAAATCGACTGATATTTCGATATTCAATCATAGACATTTTCAATTTGAAATTAAAATGCGACGCGTCAATCAGCGCCTGAACGCAAACTGGTATTGCCAGTCACTGATATCCCCGTGCGACGTGCTGGACGTTTCTCCTATTCACCGAGAACGAACATGACACGACAAATTTACTTCACTTGCCTCGCCGTAATATTCATAGCACTTTGATTCCGGAAGCTTGAAGTTACCGCATATCCTTTAATAATATAATAACCGCGAGTAGATCGAGTGTGCGTGTTCAACACGCGTGCATTCGCAGACTTGTGCGGCTAGAGATGCAACATACTTTTGTGCAAAATTAATTAATTATCGAAACACTTGCGGTTAAGTTTTTGCTCTCGTAAACGAGAGAAATGCGCGATTTGACGAAAGAAAAAAGTCAAGCTTCATCTTTCATAATTTCGCAAAATCTCTCGTGACGTGCGCCAATGTTTTCTAATCGAACGATCATCTGTGCTGTTTGCAGGGTGTGGCCGGCGGTTTAACGAAGACGTCCCTCGAATTGAGTTCAGGTGAACCACTTCTTCGTGGCGTCGCATTCCCAGCGGTGCCGCCCCAAAGTGTGTATATGTGTAGCGCCTTTCGCGAGGAAAATTGAATGTTAATATTGTTTCTAATCGTTTAATGAAACCCGCATGCCGGTATCCGTGCGGGCCGTCCTTTAAAGTGAGAACAGTAACGAACAGTGCGACATCGTGTGTGATACACGCCCCTTAGCGAAATATTAATAATAATAATTATTATAATACTAATTAATGACTCAGCCGCGAACGCCCATCTTGGATCGGTCACGATGCGCTTTCGAAAGAATTATTTCTCAATGCCGACGAGAAGGTTTCGACGCTCGAGTTTCCAGCCAAAAAGTGGACTGTCGACGGGGAGCGTCGCGGGGAACCGCAAAGTCATGGACGATCCGTGCATCGAGTGACATGACTGTTAAGTGACATCGTAGTTTTTTGGTGCGTACCGTTTTACTGTGTTACGTTTCCTTCTCCGTTCTGGAATCGACGGTTGGTTGGGAAGAAGAGAGGAGCGACGTCGTCATGCCGCATAACAAAATAAACAGGTGATAATAATATTGATAACAGCAATTTACGATGAAAATTGCCGAAAAATTGCGAATCGTGACGCGAATTTGCCAAGGAGCGACGTCGGTCGATCTTCGAAGTTCGATTTACGAGTCGCAGGGTACTTGTAAGGCTTCGCGTATGATTGAATGATTGTCACGACTTGTAACGCTTTTCGTGTTTGGCAAATAATCGTTGTCGCAAAAAATAAGAATCGCGAGGAATCTTTTCCCCGGAAAAATAATACGGCTTTTCTATATGTCTGTTCGTGTCAACCGGCGCGATTGCGTGCATCAGATCTAATTTGATTACTACAGTTAATTATAAGCGAAGATTGCCTCCAAGCAATCGTTTCCATTGTGAAAATGTTGTTGTCTGTCGTTCGTCGAGCGTGGAATTGCATACCGAATTTAATCGTTGCGGTTAATTATTAATCAAGCGACAGGGTTACGCGATACTATTATTTTCTACGAAAAAAATATTGCATCGACGTTACCATTGCAATTACGTGTTACCAAAAGTAATCCAACCATCACAATTAAGTGTTAATTGATCGTATATCGGAAGCTTCAAACTCATAACTCTCTTTGTTAACAGAGAAATGCTTATCAATTTTTATTTAATTGTAAAATTTATCTCGATCTAAAATTAGAACGAATTATACCATCTAAAAAGTGTAAATACTGAGTTTGAGGCTTCTCGTCTGTATTGCCGCTATTATTCTCAATCGCAATTACTCTCAGAAGGAATCCGTAAAATCTTGATGATCGAGGATTTCCGCTCGTGTGACTTCAATTTACTTCAGGATTTTCAGTCACGAAAATCGGCTGTTGAATTGATTTACCAATGCGACAAATAAAAATTATAAATTTACAATATTGTAAATTATAAACAAATATTATTTTCTTTAGCTATCATTCAAATAGAACAAAATGTTTAAACTCGCACAACTGTCCCATTATTCCCGACTTAAATCCCGACGATTATCGCGAGACCAATGCGATAGCATAATAGTTGGCTATAATATAATCGCGATCTGAGAATACTTCGATCGAGAATACTTCTGAACGAACTTCGATCGAGTTTGAAATCCCCGGCCTACATCCGGCTCTGGCCCGATAATTATTTCCATAATTTTAATAAACTCTGGCAAACAACAGGATCAGGTCGGGCGATCCAGTGCGGTTCGATCGGCATCTCTGAAAATGATTTTCGTCACCCTTCTGAATTAACTCGGAGTCCGGCACGATCGTGCATCTCTGAAAACCAATTTCTATCTCCTCGTAAATGTCAATTGCCGATGACGTTAGGTCGGTCGATCCTTTGTGACAGTTGCCCAACAACCGCGAGCGCAGCCGACCTACTTCGTGCGCAGGCTGAAACTCGTGCGATAGATAGAGAAGGACGGACAGCATTGGCGAGTCGTGCGAGAGGACGAACTATTGGAAGAGGGAGAGAGAGAGAGAGAGAGAAAGAGAGAAAGATAACGTTGCATAAACTCGTTGAGCAGTCGTTCCTCAAGGCGGTTGGAAGTAATGAAATCCTAATGACATTTTCGTGAGTCAAACGATCTCGGCAATCACGGTGCTCGCTGTAATCACCAGTCCCTCCTTCCCGGATGAGGCAACCGAGCAGAGGCCTCCTCCGAAGAGAAGTACGCGAGAGACGAACGGAGGAATGACAGCTCGTCGGGCGAGCTGGAAAAAAATCGCTATCTCGGTTGGTGACACGCGCAATGTCGCTGATATTCCAGTTTCTTGAAAACTTGCAGAAGCAAAGAATCACGCGAATTTTATTTAATAATTATCTATTAAAATTTTAATTTTGTTTTATGATTCTATTTCTTTTTTCTATTGTAATATTTTATATAATGAGTCAATAATCGAAAATTTTTATCTTAAAAATAATGTCGACAATATACATGTAAATTTGTAAATAATTTTACAAATTATTAAAATTGAAAAAATCTTTAGTGAAAATTAAACAGAATGATTTGCTAAAATTTTTGCTACCGTGATTCGATGCAATCATCAAGATGTTTTTTTTTTTTTAAGTAGTATCTCTCTTCTTTTTTCTTACTACAGTTATTGAATGATCCAAGCTCGTGGGTGAACGACGCGGCGGTCTGTTTTAAGCTGTTTCTATTCTGCTGTCCTCTGTCAGTCATATTGGATCACCCTTGCCATCTTGCGTCGCGCAATATCTAACTTTCCAAGAGGCGACGCGAAACCGCATAAACGACGGCTGTGGCTTGCAACCGCGGGAAATTGGGAGGGTCGACGGGCCCCACCGCTGACCCAGATCCACTGTCTCGTCGGTACAACAATGGTCGCCGTCTCATGAGAACGCGTAGTCCCGCACGGTCCTTTTCCTTCCTGATTCTGCCTTTTCCTTCGCTCTGATTGACATTACCGTTCGACATATGTCACGATATGCGCCAGGTCTCGGTCTCGCACACCGATTCTCGAGCTTCTGCAAAAAAATTCAACTAATACTTCAGATTTCACAAGCTTATATGTCGTCGAATAGATTAAATTCAACATGTTCAATTTCTCGATTTCCACAGTCGCTTATTGCAACAAATAGAGTCTCGTGCGAGTATCTTTCTAACAGAAGCTGATCGAAACCTAATATAGTTTCATAAGCACATTAATCCGTGTCTGTCATTGACAGCGTTCTATCGATTAGAATCGCATGAAATTCTCGACACGATAATAAATCGTAGTGTAACGCCGTATACAAATTTGCATTGCAATTTTATATAGAATTACAATGACGTGTCTCTGTGGCAGTTATGGATTAAATCTCGCGCAGACGAGTTCGCGATATACGGTTGCCGCGCAGAGTCGGCGATCGAGTACGCGAGATCTCACGTATATAACGCACCCGTACAATTCTCCCGATTTCCCCCCCCCAAATTCCTCGAAGAATCGACGGAGGCGTCGACGCGCCGCGCAAGTCGACGCAGCGCGGAAACTCGAGGCGGATTAGGCTGCCGGGTTCGCCCCAATGGTGCACAAAGAGAACAAGTACAAAGCTAGTTTTATGCCCTTCCGCTCGTGTCGACCGCGCTTGCTGTTGAACAACGCTGGTACACGATTACATGAGCTTGCGTAAAAAGGCTTTTCGCGTGGCGAGAAAAGAAAAGGAAAAACGGGCTGGAAGGTAGGCTACGTTCCCGGGGATCGATGTCGCTGCGCCGGGGCGACGCGGAATTCCTAACGTCGTGACATTCCGCGTCGTCGTCGAGGCGACGTCGGTGCACGCGAAGGATGCGCCGGCGACGGCGACGACGACGGCGGCGGCGGCGACGGCGGCGACAACGAGACGCGGCGATTTTTTTCTCATGTATAATAATAAGTGCCGTTAGATTTAACAGTAAGCCGCGCTGCGAAGAACTAGGAGGCACGAAGCGGCCTCCTCCGGACGGCTCTTGCGTTCTGATTCGGTGCAATAAGAAGGTGTATGCGTGTATAATTTAAGACGAAGCTCCCCTCAGTTCCTAAATTGCATGTAAAGCGGGAAATGCGGAAAACAGCGTAAAACATCTCGAGCGTGGTCGAAGTGACAAGGCAAGGTTTTCATCGTTGTTGCCGAAGATGGCGCTGAATTTCCTGGAAAGTTGAAATCGTCGGAAAAATCTTTTTCTCCACGCATGAGAATTCTAAAATACGCGAATTAGACGATCATGAAAGTAATTTTTTTGCAGCTTCGAAAAATGATAATTTACAGGATAACTTACTCTTCTCCGCGACGTGATGTATTTGCAAAAGAGCATACAGTTTCCAGGAAGTGACATTAATTTGTGCGACGTAAAAATGAGTCGCGCCGGCAGCATCGATGAGGCAGCGTGCAAAACCGGCCGTGTAACGCGGCGCTCACCTTTGCCACGCTTTTGTCGAACACGCGGAATATGACAGCGCCGCGAGCGAATGCGAACTTTTAACGCGACAGAAAGAGAGCGAAAGAGAGGAAGAATGGTAAACAGCATAAAAAGAGTCCATAGAATTTACTAGCGTTACTAGTCCCGGTGCAAGCCATCGAGGATCGATCGGACTCGGCGAAGGCCGGGAGGATCGAACCCCGAACGTCTGTAAATATTGCACCGGGGCCCTCTAGCATGTAAGCCGTAAGTGAATCTGTGTAAAATACGATATTGTGATAAGAATGTAAAGATGCGAAAATGAGAGAACGGAGGAAATAAGAGAGGCCTAGAAAAAAAAACGTCTATATATACATATAGGATATAACACGGCAGACCCCAATTTATCGATTTTACCCTTGTACGAATATAGAATATTACAAGAACTAAAACACCTTAATTATGATTACTATTGTATAAAATATGAATAATAACTAATTAATTCAATTTAAAATCCTGCCTCCTCATATATTTCGCTCACACATCTTCCTACATCCCGATGTCCTTTGCGTTAAGGATGATACATGCAATATTTACTGAACGTCTATCAATGTTCAAAAAGTTCAACCACAATTGCATGAAAATCTGCAAGTTTCCGAGGAACGAAAATATCCGTGACGATCGATTTAACGAAATAATTTTTTCCGCGATTATAAGTAATCGGTTTTAGAAAAAAAAAAAAAAAAAACTAAAATTGCTGGATGCGCTTCTTACACTCTGCGATAGCACAAGAAGGAGCGCATTGGCGGTTAATGATGCATGTTGCATGTCCTTCGTGAATTACCACATTTTCGTGTAACGAGCGGACATCGGCTCAATGATTCAATCATTTCCGAGTGGACGAGAGCTCTCTCGCAGTCCCGATGGATGACGGCTCGCGCTCTTTTTGCTCCTTCTCTCTTTGTTCAGCGGCAGCCACCTGCCGCTCTAGAGCCAACGTACGCATGCTCTACTTTTATGGATAACTGTACTCCTATCTCGCTCAAAGCCGAAGGCGCACTGTATCCTGCGTCTCCTCGGCGAGCTGTTATTCCACGTCTCGAGGAAGGCGTTTCGTTTCGGAGGCAGAAACCGCGCGATTTTAATAACTTTGGTTTTTAGCATCAAGGAACTTTTTTTTCGCACGGAAAAGGAATTATTTTTCAAGACATGCTATTTTTTTTATTTCTACATATTCGTGTCTTGTACTTCCTACATGGTTCTCCTTCTTTTCCGACAAAAAGAGAATTGATCGGAGCGAAGCGAATGCTAGTACAACCGAATCTTAATTAAATTAATTCGCTCAAGGCTGGATTCGTTAAGCAATCGGAGAATGTCGAGTAAAAACTCCAATAGAGTATTCTGAGGTCCGTCGTTCGCCACGCGCGACTAGTCTCGCTCGTCCGTGCGGGACGGTGAGGCAGAAAAAGGTATGCCGATACTCCGGGATGAATACCGCGGGACCTTGTGGGTCCGTGGTTTCCAAACGTAAACTTATACTTATATACGGAGAAAAGGAAGAAAGGAAGAAGACGATGGAGAGGGGCCACCTCGGTACGACAATGCGAGGAGTCTCGCGGGACTCACGGGAAACCTCTCGCGGCGGGAGGAAAGAGCGGGAAGGGAGGCGGCAGACAAAAACGTATAATGGACACAATGCTCGATGGAGCACGCTCGGGCTCTCGCAGGGTAGGCGCCTGCACTCGACCCGGCGAGCCTTCGAAAAGATTACGTCGAGTGGATGTTTATTTGCTTTCGGCTACCTCGAAGAGACGAGCAACCGTCATCGACGTCCAATTCAATTTGCTGCCATGAGGATCGATTCTTTCCTCGTAAAAATTCGCGCTTCATCTTGTCTGTCCTTCCGTTTGATGTGTTTATGCGTAAAAAAAAACTTATTTTTATACACTACAAATTATAGTTGTGACGAAATTTTTATTTGAGGACAGTGCTTTTCCTCTCGAATACTGAAAGTTCCATTTATAGATTATTGCATATTGATGATGAGCGTGAATAATTGCGCGCGATTAAGCGCATCTGAGAAATGAGTAAACTCGGTACACCGATAACTCGTTCGAGTTACGACGTCATTTGTTTACTCAGGAAAGTAGACAGAGGAGCCACACGATCGATCCAGGGCACTTTCTAGCTGATGCAGACGGCGGATTTCGATAAAGCTGGCAGATCTGGTTTAGCCAGTCCGCTATCGCTTGTTTTTAGCATCATATTAGCATGTTATGTGTCGGATGTGGCAGAGCACATGCTATCATCGCTCGATATAGCCGTCCCGATCTATTCGTGAATCGATAATAGCTAAATGAATTATGGATGATTCAGTCCCACTTCGTCACAGGAAAGCGAGGTATTCGCATCACTTATAATTGTCACTTATGATATTATGTTACTATTCGTATCCTTCGGTTACGCATGTCCCGCGTATTGCGTTTAGCCGTGCGTCGCAGTATTAAATAATATTGTTTGCGCGAAACTGACCTTATTTCTTCACATCGACTACCGGGAAAAAACGCGACATTATCGCCGCGTGTAGGCAAACAGTGTGAGGTACGAATCGTACACACGTCGCGATACAAGTTGGTACAATTTATCATTATCAAACGTCACGATTTTCCCTTCTGTATTGCACTCGCGTTAATGATTTGGTAAATAATCATAATGGTAATATAACACGCTCGTATGTGAGATCTTATGAGACTTTACTTGCCACGTGAAGCGATTGATTCACTCGTGCAATTGTTTATTCGGTATAGTAAATGCGCGTTAAATACGTAATATCGATTACTTTTATTTCCAGTATTGTAGAAAGTACTTTTTCCAAGCGGCAGTCGAGCCGCTGGAGAACACGCAACTGCTACACGAAAGCCAAAAGTGCCCCAGAACTCCAACGCCGCATGCACGATACTCTTAACCTTCCCAATGTAAGCGTGGATAAGAACGCACGG